AGGACACACAGACCAAGAGAGCTCCATCGAGCCCTCAGAGGTAAGGAAGATTTCAGTGTGAGTCTGAGAGGCATGAAAGGCTGTCTCAAGCAGGGTGGCTAAGACCCAGCTTCTCCCCTGGCTCTGAGCTCAACTCAGAAACGGCAGGATTCTCGAAAAGTTTAAAAATCAGTTTAGGATTAAGTAAAGCAGTGAAACTCTGCCAAGAGCACAAACATCGAAGCATAGTAAGAACACTAGCAATGTATTTGTTTCTAATCAGTCCTGGTTCAGGGGAAGCCCCAGGTCTATATATTGCCCAAACCCTAACAATAATCAAATTGCCATTAATAAATACTTCTTTATTCAGAAGAGAGCCTATGTTTATTTTTCTGTAATGTTTGCTTTGATTATAGGTAGCTAAAATGTATTGAAAACACACTACTCACCTGTCACTGTAAGACTTGTACGTGAGTTAACTTTTTAAAATCTTCACTGACCTTTTCTACCCATTTACAACTGAGAAAACTAAGAAATAGTATTTATGATTTGATTAAAGTAACACAAACACTAAAACTTAGTTATAGAGCTAGCTTGATAACCAAATTAATATGTTAATTACTAATTTATCATGAAAAGAGACTGGCTCACAGTTTATCAGAAATCTCTATTGCAAACCCTGGGGAAAAATTCCTATTGTTTAAGCAGCAAAACCTTGCAGCAACTACATGAATTACAAACTTGAGCTATTCAATGATCAAACCAAATTTAAGAGGTTAGTTTTAGATCTGTATGTTCAACACTGTAGCCTCTAACCCCATCTACCTATTTAAATTTATATTAATTAAAATTAAATGCAAGAAATAAATTCATTTCCTTATCCACATGAGCCACATTTCAAGTGTTCAGTAGCCATATGTGGCCTGTGGCTACCATATTGGACAGCATACTATTCTATGTGAAAATTTCCAACATCAAAGAAAATTCTGTTGGAAAATTCAACCCTATTTTAATATTGAGATCTCCTATGCCCCTGTTAATTTTTAAACCATTTAGTATATCACCTAATTTTATTCTCACAACCATCATATGAAAAATAATTTAATATTACTATATTTTATAAGGAGGGTCACATTGTTTTTTTAGAGCCAGGTTGAGGTTAAAAATCTTGGGGGCTAAATGTGTGCAATTTGTGGAATTAATTTATTCAATGGGATTCAAAATTCAGTTCCTATCTTTGTCTTGGGTGACAATGGACTAAGTTTTGAATCTGAATGGCATGAGCTTTCAATAGTCCACTTCATCATCTAATATATGATCTACTGTACCACGGAAAATTTGTGTCTTTAAATAAAATAAGTATAATTCCTTAATTAAGTTGGACAATTAGAAAAAGCTCTATATCACATTTGTTTCAAATAAGTATCACCGGTACTTAGTTCGATATTCAGAAAAGGTCACAACAGTGTGCCTATGTTGATGAAGCAAAGCACCACCTTGAATTGTTCAGTCAACAATTTTAAAAGTCACTAGATTTTTGCATAGTAAAATTAGATTAACATGATCCACTATAGTATTTCTTTCCACCAGAATTCATGCTAAAGTCACAAAGTTTTATGGACCATGCCTCTCAAGTAATATGTTTACAAGATGAAGCCTCTCCACCTTCATTAACCTAAAATTCTTTTTCTGTAATTCATAAATATTCCCCTTCTTTCATTCTTTCCGTTGTCACTGCTCTTCTGAACTGATTCTATTTTATATCTCTGATTTTCATTTCCCAGTTTGTTTGCCCTTTGTAGTTGTACTACCTGTTACATTGCTACAACTAATTTACACTGAGCATTATTTTTGAGACTCTGCCTAATTATAATTTTCCCTGTAATGCTTCCTCCTTTCCTGCATTCTTTCACATCTGCTTTACAGTAGAAGCTATACCACTAGAGTCACTCCATGCACTTTATGCCGTGGTTGGTAAATGCATATATACTCTTTTGTGTACAAAAAAAGCACTAATAATCTCACAGTACAGTGCTAAAAACAAGAAAGCTCCATATTGAGTTATTAAATTAATAATAACTGTGAATGCAAAACAAATGTCAAGGCAATATTTACATTTAGTGAAAAAAGATATTAGAATTATTTCCATCTTTGGGGATGCATACGTACAAAATTATGAAGTAGTGCATTGAAACTTAAAATGAGTATAGAGAAGTAGTCGAAATAATACATGAAAAAATTTTGAAAAAAGGTAAGGCAGTACATTAATTACATATATAATTTAATTGAATATATATTTATTCAAGTGCAAGGAATAATTCTAGAAACGCAAATGATGAAGCCACAGTCACTGCTTTCATGGAGTTTATGAGAAAAAGATATGTGTTTGAAGAAAGATTTTATGAGGAAGATGATTTTAGAGCCTTGAAGGATGGTAAGACTTTTACAGATGAAGAGGAGAATGAGTTCAATTCAGCAGAGGGAAGATACAAGAAAAGGTACAGAGAGTGCCAAGTGCAGAGCATGTTAGGGGCACAGCAAATAGGCAGATTTGGAAAGTGAGAAACTAATAAATGATGAGGCTAAAAGAGTAGGTTAGGGTCAGGGCACAGAAGATCATGACTGTCAGACAAAGCACTTTGTAGTGAATGACATAGTAAACAGAAGCTTCTATTGTTATTGTTATTATTAATCATTAGTTGAACATGTGGTTAGTATGATCAGAGATGTGCTGTAAGCTTTATTTGAACACACAGGAGCAGGTAGAGACTGATGAGACGGAATTAAATTAATAATAGTTTTAAGAGTCTGCAGTAGGGGCAATCAGGGATGTAAGTTGGGGTATAGGAGTTTGAAAGGAGGTTAGAGACAATGTGGACTTAAATCTGCAGGACAGAGGTCCTACATAAAAGAATGTTAAAGGTGAAGAAAAGGGAGAAGTTAGTAACAACTCCAGGTTTAAGAGCTTATGTGACTGAGAGAAGATGGTGTTGTTTATAGAAATAAGAGAAGAAATTGGACTGAGGTGAATGGTGGTGAGGACTGAACAGAAGCAGAAGAGGAAAATGATTTTTGGATAAGCTGTCACAGACACAGGCACTTTCCTCTTCAACAAATCTTTCACTACCACCCTGCAATTATTTACACATCTAATGTCCTTGCTCCATACTCTGAGCACTTTGAGGGGAGCAAGGTGCAGATTTTATTTCTAGTGCCTCGATTCCTGCCTGCAATTAACTGTTTCCCCATAACAATTCAATGAACCTTTCCAGAGACGTTAGTGTAGACTCAGCAATCCGCCTCAAATAAAAAGTGTGTCATTTAAAAATTATTTTTATATTTAGTTTTCTGGTGAAGGAGGGAAACTTTTGTAGTAAATCAAGAACCGGAACTGACTGAGGTTGGTCACAGGGCTAAATCTCCTCCCCAACCAAAAATATCTCTTCCGGCTTTTTAAGGCTTGAAATTTAACCATTTGAAATTTGTGCCTATGGGTTACTCCTGCTTAAAATGTAGGGAAATCATTGAAGGGGCAAACAGATATCCTTACCTTCCTGTGTAGTTATAGGATTCTTTGCTGAGATTAACTTTGACAAAGAGAAAGGTGCAGAGGGGAGGTAAGAAAAAAGGCTATAAAAAGAAAATCTAAAAATATTTACCTACTTCACAATTTTATATAAGCTAAGAGCCCCCAAAGTATCTTCTTGGGTCCATGCTCTTACTTCAAGCTTCCTTTCATTCTTTTAAAATGGTAATTGCCCCTGCCCTTGGCCTCCTGCAGTCTCTTCTCAAGAAAGCAACCAATGTGATCCTGCTAAAATAAGTCATTTTGTGTCACTCCTCTGCTCAAAATCTGTTAGAGCTTCCCATCTAAAGTTGACAATGATCTGCAACGCTCTACTCCCACCCTTCTCCTTCTGACCTCATCTCCTCTTACTTTCTTCCTGGTTTACTCTTCTCCAACCACGTTAGCTTCAGCTGGTCCTGAGAGGATCAGGCACGTTCCCAAATTTAGGCCCTCTGCACCCCATCTCTAAAACACTCCTCTCTCAGATCGCTTCTTGACGAATTCCCTCTCCTCCTTCAAGTCTTTGTTCAGATACACCTACCTTACTAGGATTAACTGCAATCCCCTCTCCCAAGTGCTCCTGATCTGGCTGACCCGGTTCCTCTTTCTCCGTGGCATTTATCATCTGCCAACAGGCTATTAAATTTACTTATTCATTAATCTTTGTTACTATCACTCTCTCCTCTACTCGCAAGGAAGGGATCACTCTTGCTTTTGTTTTGTTGTTGTTTACTTATGCATTCCCAGCACCTAGAACCATCTCAGACATAATAATACAAGTTCAATAAATATTTTGCTGAATAAAGGAGTAAATGAAATCCCTTCTCCAAATACTCTATTGATGGCTTACATTTTGCACAATCGCATCCAACTCTTCTTCTATCTTTGTTGTTTGTTTTTTGGTCTGAAGATGACAGTAATCTGCCCCTTTGTAAAAGTAAATAAATAAATAAAACAAAATAACAAGCATGTGCTGAACTCTGATGATTAAATCATAAATGCATCCTTACAGAGACTTAGGAAACATGGAGTCCTACTGCGTAGCTGGAAAGGATGGGGTTTAGCCTAGCTTGCATGATAGAAGTAACTCAAAACTGATGTTAGCTCTCAGAAATTCAATCGCCTATGACAACGACTCAGAAAGCTGCCACAGAATATCCCTTGTTGAGAGCCTGTATCCTGGTGAATACTTTCCAAGATAATGAACCAGAAAATGAAAACAAAACTAAACTGAACAAAATAAAACTAAAAAAGAAACATGCAAACAAGCAAAAGAAAGAAAAGAAAAACAAGAGACACAAAGTTTATAAACGTGACAAAAATGTGAATTAAAAGTAATTTACAATTATAATAGTGTCTATAGATTTTTATAGTGAAAAAATTAGTTCTGTTATTAGAATTAGCATGTTTGACCATTTGGCATAATTAAATTCACTATTTTATTCTTTTCAACATGCTGCTGTGTTAAGCATAAATCCAAGCAGTCATCTTTTCTCTGAAACTCTGATATTAAATTTTGATTTTGAAGATTCTTTAATACATATTATATATACAATTAAATTTATTTCATTATACAAATATACTAAATGATACATGGTGTAAAACTCCTGTAACTGGCAAAGTGCTATATAAATTAAAGAGATTATTACTATTAAATTTTTACACATACTTCTTCCCATTGCCTTCATTGTATCAGATTTAGGGTGGAAAAATAATGGGAAAACTGCTTTCAAGTAACCATGCACATCTCCCATTGAAACCTGTTAAGGGTTACACAGGAGTATAAAAGGATAGTATTTGGCCCATAATGTGTTCAAGATCTAATTTACTGTACACCGAAAGCATTACATTAGTAATAACAGTCAAAGCTGAACCTCAGAGGGTTGGCAATTTTGCTGAAGCATCCAGAATTTTTCTTATCTGAACTACCCAAACTTTAAAAGCTCCCCTTTTTCTCTCCCCCTCTGCAATCATCCAATTAAAAGAGTTTTTTTCCCTGCTGCAGAGCAATGGAATTTCACAGAAGTTTTATGCTACATTTAACAGCTCAGCGTTTTAAGCTAATAAAAAATAGATTTTGAAGACACAAGTATATACATATTCACAAGTATATATATATAGACACAAGTATATATACTCTATATATGCTGTATATAAAAGTATATGCAGTATGTTTGGTGGTGACATGTAAATCTATTATCGTTAGAACAAAATGAAATTTTATGTCGTGGTTTGCTGCTTTTGAAAAACATTGGAAAAAAATAGTGTTTGTTGTTTCAAGTCTGTCACATAGCTGGATCCCATATATGGTTAAAAAAAGGATGTGTAACTTTATTCCTTTGTTTTTCTAGTACTTTAAAACTTTTAGGGATTACATGTGTATGCTCTCATTTTGTTGGGTACAGGGAGGGGAGGATGAATGTGCATCTTTTTATTTACTGTTGATCTGAAGTTTATTTCATGTTGCCAGGGCACTGATTCATGCCACGTGTACTCAACATATACAGTCAATGGGTAATAACTAAAATATATGGAAAATAAATGTGTGGCCTTGAATTTTGTGCTTTGATATATATGATCTACAAATTTTACTCTTCTAATCTACAGTTTTTAGATGCAGTGGATACCAAAACCCAGACAAAATGTAGTTCTGTACTTGTAAAGCTCGTCCTAAGCTGGAAAAGTATATATTCTTGCTTAGCCAAAATTTTGGCATCCTAAATCTTCTTAAGTCATGCTAATGACTATTGCACTACATCACGATGTGAATTTAGGAGAATAATCATTTAATTTCTTTGTGGTCTTTTTCCCAGTTTCCATTTCAGGGGAACCGCTATCTGCTTACAAAACATTTAGGGCCCGAGCTAATGACATTTGATTTAATTTCCTTTTTTCATTGTATTCCAGCAACAGCTCCAAGGGTCGCTATATCTAGGAGGTAATATGTTTCCTGTGTAGTCAGGCACTTCAGTGATTTTCCCAAATTAGGGAAGACCCAGTGCTCCAAGTTCAAATTTGGCAGTGAAAGACTTTGCATGTAAAATAACAATTCTGCGATACAACTAAGAAAAGCTCCGGCACCCAGGTGATATGACTCACTGGAAGGAGCATAGAAAGATTCTGAAATGAAGTGGGATGGTAAAAAGAGGAAATAGAGCTTGATTTAAAAATGGACTCCCATTCATTCTAAATTTCTTTATTATGCAACCTATGCCCTTTTCCCAGAAATACACTCTCCAAATGATTGCAAATAGCTTATACACCAAAACATAGGCCTTAAATCTGACTTGTGTTAAGGAGATAGTTGTTTTTCATTAATTTGGAGATTACTGTAGGAAGTTAGAGACGAGGGGGAGAGAGTGGAAGGAAGAGCAGGGAAGGCAGCTACTGTCCACTCAGTACCTTTCTAGGCAAGCAGAGAAGTTTAAGATTATATTATTTAATTCCAGTAATAATATCTGAAGTAAGTAAACATTAGCATTTCCATTACCAGATGAGACAATAGAGATTTGAAATGGTTAAGGAAGTCACCCAGAAGATAGTAGGGTCACAATTAAAACCTGGTTCTGTTTCACCACAAAATTTGATCTAATAAACCACATAATGAATCTGCTTTTCTTTCTTTCTTTCTTTTTTTTTTTTTTTTTGCTGAGGAAGATTGGCCCTGAGCTAACAAGTGTGCCCATCTTCCTCTATTTTGTGTATGGGATGCTGCCTTAGCATGGCTTGATGAGCGATGCATAGATCCATGCCGAGATCCAAACCTGGGAACCCCACGCTGCCAAAGCGGAGCAGAGGAACTTAACCACTACACTACCAGGCCAGCCCCTAAACCTCTGCTTTTAAAGAACTCAGAAAGTTTTATGACAAAAGTGAATTCAATTTAGCAGTTATAGCAGGCAAAGTGCCTTCCTGACTATACTAGTCCTATGATCTACAGCATATAATATTTCTCATATTATAAAATACAATGACTTCAAACAACCAAGTCTTATAATGATGCTTATATAATCATGCTACCAGATTACCTGCACTAGTAAAAATTTTTCAAGTGAGACTGCAAGGGTGTTTTCTTTATTTTTAGAGACGTTGTGAGAGGCAATAAATTAGCAATGTAATTATCAACCAAAATTCCTTTGCACACTTTCTATCAGGACTTCATTTACTGCAGAGAGTTTCTCTTCCACGTATCCTTACTATCTTAATTCTCAAAAAATTAGTGTTGAAGGGTGACATCAGCATCATGGTGGAGTCAGCTTTCCCATGAATTCTTTCCCCAATAAGATACAACAAAAGGAACAGTCATAGACCAACAATGGAATCCCAGTCAGTGAAAAGCAAGATCGGAAAGATCCACACTGCCGCACATCTGAGAGTGGAACATGCTGGGCCCCCGGAGGAACTGAGGAGAGGTAAGGAGAACTCCCCTCCCTCCCCATCAGATCAGCGATCCTGGTCTGTGCAGCTCCCAGAGAAGGAGGAGGGGCAGCCCTCTGCAGGGAAATCGTAGCTCTTCAGGATCTCTCAGCCAGTGGGAAACTCCCACAGAGAGGACTCAGAAGAGCCACAGGGCTACCATCAGCATCTGAGCACCCCAGAGAGCAGATAACGAGGGGCGAACGAGAAGCCCTCCACGACAGGGACCCAGAGGGCAAAAGAGAGAGCCCCCCTCCCCGAAAACCAGACCCTGCAGCTCAGCACACCAGACCAGACCAAGCCATCCAACCCACAGATCGCAGGGAAAAACCGCAGCAGAGCACAGGGGGCTCAGATTACACAGCTCTTTACCACTACACAGTGGCGGTGGGTGGAAATTGCAACCAGAGATTTCCAGGATGAGGAAAAACAAAGCCAACACAGGAACCACAATGCAAAGATACATGAAATCACCAGACGAGAAGGAAAATGACAAGCACCCAGAAACCAACCCTGAAGACACAAAAATCCATAACCTAAATGACAGAGATGTCAAAATAGCTCTCATAAAAACACTCAACGAAATACGAGACAACACAAACAATTCAAGGAGTTCAGGAGTTTGTTCACAAAAGAGATTGAAATCATAAAGAAAAACCAATCAGTGCTGATGGAGATGAAGAACACAATGGAGGAGATAAAGGAGAATCTGGAAGCTTTAAAGAACAGAGCTGACAATATGGAGGAAAGAATTAGCATTTTAGAGGATAGGAATACAGATATGCTCCAGATGGAAGAGGAAAGAGAACTAAGACTAAGAAGAAATGAGGAAATTCTCCGAGAAATATCTGACTCTATTAGGAAATGTAACATGAGAATTATAGGTATTCCTGAGGGAGAAGAGAGGGAAAGAGGAACAGAGAGCCTATTCAAGGAAATAATAGCTGAGAATTTCCCAATTCTGGGGAAGGAGCAGGAAATACCAGTAAGCAAAGCCAACAGGTCACCTAAATATGTCAACAGGCAAA